AGGGCAAGGATTAGGGGTCAGAAGATGGAGCAAGAGAAGGAGAAATGAGGAAGTTGAATGGGGAGGCACCTTGCAGCCTGACCATACCAGGTGAAACAGGAGGGAAGATGCCTGCAGTGGTCTGGTTGGACTGCACACAGGGAGCTCAGGCAGGAGGAGAGAGCACTGGACTTCTCACTGAAGGTAGTGCCTGTAGGCCTGCTGTACAGCATTCATGCATCGTCCCTGGTCATGGAAGCAGTAGAAAGTGTGATGCAATGTTAACTCCTTAGGTATAATTAGAGACGGACACTAACAGTGGGACTCATCTGGTCTGAGCTGCTCGTCAGAGTAGCCAGTTCAGAAAGCAGACTGAGTGTGGAAGGAGGTAAACAATAGCTCAGTTCCCAGGATTGTAGCCCCAGATCTTAATGGAAGGTTTTTTCTTTTTCTTTCTTTTTCTCCTCCTTTTTCTTTCTCCTTCTTTTTTATTTTTCTTCTTCCTTTTTTTCTGTTTTCTCTTCTTTCCCTATCTCTCATTCCCACTTCCCTACACGACATTGCTTAGCCCTGAAAGCAAGCACCTCACTGCTCCAAATAATCTCACCTCGTCTCTCTCCTTACCCTTCTGCAACTGCTCCTCTGGGTGGCAGGCCAGGGAAGCCAGCCAGGGCACCACAACCCCCCAAGGAGCTGACTCGCTGTTCTGTAATCAAAAGGGCATCTTAATTATACCCCTTGCCCAGAAAAAGATGCACGAGAACTGCCAGTCAGAGGCCTCGGTGTATCTTAAGCCATCCACAGCACTTGCCTTCCTTTTAGAAAGGGACCAACATTTAAGCCCTTGCTAGAGCTTGTTGTGAACCTTAATAGGACATCAAAGGCAAAGTGAGGAGGGACTGCTTCTGACCCAAGGAGTTGGGCAGATCCATTTTCCTGAGGACAGGCAGGGCAGGAGTTGAGGGAGGTGCAGAGATTTCAGGCTCTCTCCTCCCTTCCTCTCCTCCTTTCCCCTCCCTTAGGGGCTCTGGTGCAAAACCCACTGGGAGAGGTGGTAGGAAGGAAGAAATATTCACCCTAAGGCTAGCTGACAGGAGACTGCAAATGCAGAGGCACATATTTATTTGTCTTTAAGGAGCCCTGAACTTCATCCTTGCAACTGCAGCTATATCAGAGGGAAATCTTTGTTAAAATGAAGAAGACACTGTGGCTGATTGCCCCTGCACCCGCTTCAGCACCACTCTGTAACAGCTCTGAGCCCTTTGCCTCCTGCCCCAGAGCCTGCATGGACTGTCACAAGTTATGTCAGTTTGTATGTCACCACTGAAATAATCTGTTTGCTTGAGCATGGCTGGAGAGCAGTAGCCAATACAAAACTGTAGGCAGAAGGGAGACCCTAGCAGTCTGCATGTGGCATGTAAGATGCATGTAATGCAGAAAAAGCATACCTTTTGCATTTACAGATTTCTTGTGCACATTCCTGAGTAAGTAATTAATCTGTGATGCAAAGAAGAATAAAACAGATTTATGAAATAGCACCGAGGTTTTATTTACACTACTATTGCATTAGGAGACTCAATCACCTTGTGCTGGGCAGCCTAATGCTTGGGGTGAAGTTTCTGCTCTGACAATGCAAACTGCAGCCCTAGTCCTGCACAGCTTCACTCCCAAAACTCAGAGGCAGTTCTGTGAGCAACCTCCCACAGTCAGGGCAACACAGTGAGCAAAACACTGCTGCAGGTTTTATCAAAACACCCTCAGACTGCAGCGCACCCTAATTGGGAGCCTTTCTAAAAGTGGTTTGCATAGCGCCTAACACCATAAGCCAAAGACTTGACTTCGGTGTTAGATACTTCCACAGTACAACAATAAAAATATATTATCTGGAGAGCAAATATCAATAGCAGTAGTTATGTATTCAATGCATAAATCCTCATGGTTGCAAATGCTCCCAGTCAAAATGAATGGTAAATGTCATTGCAGTAAATGACTGCTTGCATGAATGTATCCAAACATATCTGGGCTGTATTGCCCAGTCCTCCTCATTAGAAGAGGGGCAAAAATGAAATGAAAGAAAAAGGAAACAATTGCACTGAAGCACTGTCTACACAAGAGCCAAATTAAACTTAAATTAAAAAAAAAAAAAAAGAAAAAAAGGAAAGAAGGAAAGGAAAGGAAAGGAAAGGAAAGGAAAGGAAAGGAAAGGAAAGGAAAGGAAAGGAAAGGAAAGGAAAAACCCTTAAACTTTAAAAACAGCCTAAAGAAAATGCAGGTGACTGTTCACAGAGTGACCTTGCCATCTTCAAGCCTCTGCAGCAATAAAGTTAAAAGCCATTTTTAGTTATTTTTCTCTTGCTAAGTGCTGCTGTCTGCCTTCATGATAGAAGACTTAGAACACTTGTGGTTTAACCAGCACTACAAGATCTAGAGCTGTTTGCTTGCCCTTTCCAGCCTGCCAGCTAGCCAAGGGTTGTGATGAAATGCCTGTGGGTTTGTCCAGCTGAAGCACCACCACAAGCCACCTCCTGCCCTTTATCCAGCTCTGACTGGGGATGTTCTGCCCTCTTTTTATTTCAATGCAGCTCCTTGCGAGCTTCTCACAATATTTATTCTCACTACTATATTATTTTCTTGCCGTTAATGTTCCTGTTCTTCCCCATAAATGTACTTCTAGTTGAGATGGAACTTGGAACAAGTTCTCCATTTCCAACACATTTGGAAAAATTTTGCCAAAGTATCAGTATGTAAAATTCCCTATCATGGCACAAAAGTCTGTTTCCTACTGCTTCTCCTGGTGTCAGAGGGATGATGTCAGGACTCTCACATGCATTAAACTTTGTCTGCCTTATAAAGACGTTTCATTAAGAAAAGACAGAACAAAATGAAACACTGTAGTTTTGGGATCTGATGCTTTGCCTGTAAAAGAGTCAGATTGCAAGCATCGGGCAAACTTGCTGTTTCTGCACTGTTTAATTAGTCATTTGACCCTTTAAAATAACATTTTAATGTACCAGTGCAGAATAGCAGAGTGCAAAATATAGTCCCCTCTTCTATCAACTTTATGAAGAAACACCTCTTACTAGGGGGTCCACCCTTTCTGCAGCCTATTCTACAGAGACACCCTATGCTAAAAGGCAGCATTGCCACAACGTTGCATATTCTTGTCTTTTGTATTTATCACCATATTTTCTACTCATTAAGAATATATTTTCAACTGCTAGGATTTCTAGTTAGCTTTAATGCAGACTAGTAAAATAACTCATTCCATCCACACTACAGGTATTTATTTTCTCCTTTTTCATCCTGAAGTTTCTAATCTGCCTCATTTCTCTTTTTCAATTTTAATTCCCTATAAAAGCACGCGGGGTGAAAGAAGAAATACCTTTAATGCAGCTTTCCTACTGTTAAATAGATATCTTATTCCCCCTTTCAAACCAAAACAAGACAATTATTAAAGTGACAAAATGACAGCAACAAGTAGACAAAGGGAAGCATTAGAGGCAACCCAGACCTATTGTCCCATATGTGCTTTTCCTTCTGGTGTTCCCCTTAAAGGCCATCAGGTTGAGGGTGAGCAGTTTTTCCTGGGTTTCCTCTCCCCCCTTCTGTAAGAGGGTTTTGTTTTCACCATACTATGCTTCTTGTAAAAAAAAAAAAAAAAGAAAAGAAAACAAACAACCATTACATATTCAATGCAAATGTTATGTCAAATTCTGACAAGTGCCACCTTGGTTTCCATATTTCTGGAGTTTGAACAGTTGTCCGTGGAACAGCTGCACTTCTGTAAGCCCAAGGCAGGTGGCCCAAGCTAGACGCTTGCCACTCATAACCACAATGCTGAAAACTCCGACTAGCTCCTCAGTAGTCCAAAAATGTTAGTGAGTTTCTTCTCCTTTTACTTTTCTGCAATGTAAAGTAAGAATCCAGTTCAAAACTGCTAAATAGTTTTTCCCATGTTGAAATCAAGAAATAATTTTCACTGAATAAAAAAATATTCACACCACTGAAATAATCATGATTTCCTCTGTCCCTTGTAAGAAGGCCAGTGGTTTTGCATCACTATTTGTGATGTCATTTGACTCTTTTAAAATAGTCCAACTGCAGTTCTGTGCAGGCTGTGGAGTTTGTTTAAATAGTTCATGGTCTTTGGCTCTCCTCTCTCAACAGAAGGGTTTTCCTCTCCAAAATAAGTCTAAAGGTTCATCCTTGCAAAGCCAGGTTGTTTAAAGTCCCGTTGTCTGTCCCCAAGCTGCAGGGCCATGGTAGGCTTGGAAAAGGGCAAGGGGGTCTGGGAGGCTCTGAGTCAGCTCGTCAGCTCAGAAGGGATCCACCACAGAAGGAGTAACGCCGAGCTGCAAACCAAGACCAGAAGCTGTTACAAACTGACCCGACTTCAGCTCTGAATGCCACCATGCCTAGAGGCAGAGATCTACAGGGGAGAGCCAGGGGAGGAAGAGTGAAGGACAGCTCTAAAACCAGTACAGATCCTTGCTTTTGTCCTGAGGCTGCAAACCTGAGAACGGAGACAAGAAAAAAGGGAAGAAGAAAAAATAGGTACAAGCATTTAAGGAAAGAGAAAGACAAACTCCATTTCTGCCACATGAGATCAGAGGCTCAGCTGAAGCCTGGGCTCCCCAGGGCTAGAAGAAAGCAATGAAGCAAGAAGAGCCCCGGCTGCAGTGAGGACAGGCACATGTCTCTTTCTAACCTGAAGTGAGGCTGCTGGTGACTGCTGTCACCAGGCTTCATCATGAGGAACCCAAGCAGCCAAGCAGGCTTTCCTTGTCTCCACAAACATAGCCCGATGAGCTGGCACTGCTGGCCATGACTCTGTCCCCTCTGCAGCACCACTATAGGCATGCAGCCCTACATCCCAGCACCTGGCCAGGGGCAGGCCACCAGCACCAGCCTCCCTGGTCACAGGGATAGCTGTTGCCCTTACATGCTCAGCAGATACAATAGCATTTTTTGAAAACTGGGAGAAAAAAAGTAAGCAGAGGAAACTGTTTAGAAAGCTGCAGAAGTTCACAGAGCTGTGGGACTGCCCTGTGGCCGCAGCCCTCAGGGCTCCATCAGGCTTCCAGCACAGAGCAAGGCCCAAAGCAAGCAGTACCTCAGAGTGTGTCTTGGGAGCCAGAAATGTGGAGTGGGTGACACATTGCCCTTGCTTGCCTGGCCAAGGAATGCAAAGAAGGACACGCAGGATGGGTTGGGAGCTCACACACCCATATGTTTCCTTTAGCTGCCCTCTACAGAGCCCTCCCCTCCCACCACCTCAGGACAGGGGTAGCCCTGAGCTGGCGGGATCCCGAGGGGCCAGGGACCTCTCTTCACCTGCGTCCACGTTGAGGCCGAGGCTCTGTGCCACATCTCCCGCCGCATTGGGGAAGGGTCCCGGTGTCGTCCAGGCAGCAGCAGGGCCCGCCTCGCCCTTGCCCAGCTCGCAGGGTGGGCTGACCGGTGTGGGTACGGTGGCGGGGGTGAGACGGTGGGGGCGGACGGAGGCGGTGGGCACCAGCAGGGAGCCATAGCGAGGGTCAAAATGAGGGCCGTAAACCTCGTGCATGGCTGTGGGGCGGGGGTAGGCCGTGCTCTGCGTCCCGAGGTAGGGATGGTGGTGGTGGTGGTGGTGGGCGTGATGCCAGGCCTCAGGACCACCCTGGTGCAGGTGGCCATGCAGGGAGGCTGGGGCATAGGGGTCCGCGGTGGTGAAGGGCAGCTCGCTGTGGGCAGCCAGGGGGCTGCTAAGGGTGACGGGGACCGAGGAGGGCTGGTAGGTGCTGTTCCAGAAGGATGGAGGGAAGCTGCGCTGGCTCATCGGGAAGGAGCCATCTAGATGCAGAGAGAAAGGAAAGGCGGATGAGCACTCTCAGTCCTGGCATCTGACTCCCTAGGGCTTCTCTTCACTCTCATGCTGTGGTTATCTTCCAAACAACCACCAAACACACAAAAAACACACAAAACTGCTCCCCAGCAGCCCTCCCCAGCCCAGTCATCCAGCACAATTAGCCCAGGGCTGGAGCAATTTGCTCCAGGCTAGGCTTCTCTTAGTACTTCTTTAGGGAAAAGATTGTTATCTAAGGTGAGAGAAACACCTTTTTCTCTCAATTTGGAAACTGTCAGACCATTAGGAAGCACAGCAATTGTCGAGGTTGGATTTCTCTCTCTCTCTCTCTCTTTTTTTTTTTTTTTTTTTTTTTGTACTAATCTCCCTCTTGAAACATTTACGCTGCTCAACACCTTAGAAGATGCCAAACACTGCCAGGAAAGCATCTGCTTCCTCAGTGTAGTTTCAAAGTAGTCAGGAACAGCATGAGCTGTGCAATCAGCTTTAATATGCTAAATCTATGTGAGGGTGTTTCCCTGTCTATTGCACTGGACTTGTTCTTGTTTCCTGGGGCTCTTGTTAGCATGTTTGGGAAGCATTCTGCAGCTCTTTGAGGATTGACAGTGCAAAGGATAAGGACCTCGTGCTTTTCTTGCCCAGTGTGAAGTGGAATAGAGGTAACTAATAGTGCAGAAGTAGATGCTATGCATTATTGATTGTGAACAGTGTTGCCGATACAACAGGGAGGTATGTCAGCTCTGCACCTTCTGGTATTGCTCAGGAGAAAGGGAAGCAGTTCCTGAGGAGCTAAGAAATCTTTCAGCTTTCAGTGCTGAGCATCTTCCACTTATGAAATACTTTAACCAATATTTAATTCTTAGAAAACTGATGGGAATTCCAGGAGAGAGTGAGCAATCAGTTCTCAGTTGGGCACTGGCAGGTGAGGGATGGTCCCAGGAGCTGCTCTACAGCAGTGCCTGAGGTCAGATATTCCCTGCCACTCCAGGTACCCCATGAGACTATAAGGTGTAAAATTGGGTATAGGTACAAAAGATTCATGCCTGCGTCCACTTCTCCTATTGCTCCCACCCTTGCTCATCACAGCCCCAGACTCAAAGCCAAGGGAACGGGGGATTCCTGCCGTGCATCCTAGCCCTGCACCTCCACGCTCCCTGCACTCGCGGGACCCCAGCACTCGCACCCCTTCTCGGTGCTCACCCCGCCAGGAGCCGGAGTTCCGAGCCGCCTTGGCGCTGCCGAGAGAGAAGCTGCTGGGCTGGCTGAGCGCCCGGCTGAAGTGCTCGTCCACCACGGCGCTGATGTCCCCCTGGAAGTAGGTGAAGAGGACGCACCGGGAGCTGATGTACTCAGCCTCGGGGGGCCTCTCCTTCTCGGGGCTGCACTCTTCCTCCTTGATGCTGGCGGCGGCGTGGCTGGAGAAGGAGCTGCTCGCGCCGGCGCTGCTGCCGCTCTCCGGGGCTTCTTGCATTTTGGAGTACAAGGCGAGTTTCTGGAAGGAGAGAGAGAAGAGGGAGGACGGGAAACGGAGCAACGAGGCGCGCTGGCCCCCGTCCCGGCCCTCCGTCCCCGTGCCAGGCGGGATGCAGCGCCCGGGCCCGCTCGGAGTTCCATGCGGGAGCTGCGGTCCTGCCGCACCCCCGGGGCACCCGAGCCTGGAAGTGCCGGGCGGGACGGGCACTGCCGGGAGCGGGGTGACGCGCGGGACTCAGCTCCCAGCACGAAGTTCAGCACGCAGAAGGCGCTTTGAGGGCCGGATCCCGGCACCGGGGGAAAGGCAGAAGAGTGACCTACAAAACAAAGCGGAAAACGGGAGGAAGGGGGAAAAAAATCAAAGCCTGTCCGCTTCAAACATGTCTCGGGGCAGAAAGCATTTCTCTTGCCAGTGGGAAGCCTCAGGTATTTCCTACAGGATTACACAATTTTTACTGGATCCCGTCGGGAGAAATAAAGAGCGGCGGGCGCTCAGATGTTTCCCGAGGTCTCTCTGCCCGCAGCCGCCGGGAGTTCCTTAAGATGAGCGGGGGGACGGCGGGCCGGAGCGGGCCGGAGGAAGAACGAAGGGCCGGGCGGCCGGGAGCCCTGGATCGAGCCGCGCGGGATATTTAATAACGTCGCTCCGTGACTGCCGCCTTTCCACTTGGCTGCCGGCTCAGCCATTGAGCTAATAATTAGCCCCCTAAATAATGTCACCCGCGTGCGGACGGGCGGGGGGGGGGCAAGGTGGGGGAAGACATCATCTGCTATTTGTAACAGGTATGCCGGCCTCGATGCCAGGGCTGGAGGTGTCCCGTGAGCCGTCACGCCGGGGCTGCGCGGAGAGGGAGCGGAGCGGAGCGTGACCGCCCGCCCCCAACCCCGCACGTCTGGGGCTGCCGCCCGCCCGCGGCCCGGGGCTCTTCCGCCTCTACCGCTCCTTTTTTTCGTTTGCTGGGGAAATCCGCTTTCCTATTCCGAAGCGGTAAGGGGAGAAAAAAATAATTAATTAAAAAAAAAAAAAAAAAAAAAGGAAGGAAGGAAGAAAAATACTTCCAAAGAAACACGGGAAGATGAGAGGTGCGGCAGGTGCTGCCGAGAGAACAGGAACGCGGGGCTCAGCATACAGCTCGGGCTGCACACGCACAGGCATCCCCTTACGCGTGTCTCCAGGGCAGCCCGCGGGGTCCCGCCGCCGAGCGGGGCTGGAGTGGGAGCATCCCCGGTAACCCCGCGAAGAGTGGTGCACTGCTTCTCCCACGGCGGCGGCCGGAAAGCACCCCGGACAGCCCTCCCTGGCCCTTCCCGGTAACACTCTGCAACCCGGTTGCATCGCTGCCCGCAGTCGTCGAGCTCGGATGGAGCCCGGTCCAGGATAGGGGAAAAAAAAAAAAAAAGGGAAAAAAATCCCTTAAAAGGCATATCGGATCTGAAGTCCGGTTTTCTCCCGCAGTCCCGGCAGTACGTACCGTGCCGAGCCCCGCACCAGGGTGGGATGCAGCCCCGCTTCGCTCACCATCGCAGACTCCGGCTCTTCTCCCCCACCCCCCACCCCTTCTCCTTTTGCCTTTTTCCTTTTGGTGAGGCTCGGGGGCCACCCTCCCGTCGCCACCCCTCCCACCCCACGTACCTGCGGGTAGGGGCTGTAGGCTGCGGCGAAGTACGGCTGGGGAGGACCATACACTTGGTACATAACATCCAGACAGCTCATGGCTGTCCGCGGCCGCTAATTCGTTTTTCGGTCATCAACTCGCGTTCTGCAGAGCGGAGCAGTGCTCGGCGGGAGGGAGGATCCCGGGGGTTAAGAGGCACGGCTCACTGTGGGAGGAGTGATTAAGGGGTGAGACCGCGCCGCGCTGAAGTCCCCCGGCTCTGCCTCCCCCCCACGCAGCTCGGCTCCCCTCCCGGCGCCCGCAACCGTGCTGCGTCTCTGCGGGACGGGGGGACTCAAACCAGGGCAGGGAGGGGAGATCCCCCTGCAGCCGCCGCTCGTTCCTGCCCTTTCCTTTCCACTCGCCGTGCCGGGGCGGGTTTCCCCGGACGAAGCGGGGACCATCCTGCAGGGAAGGTAATGCCCCCAAACCCAGCGTGCTCCTGGGAGCGCTGCCACCAGAGCCCCGGGATCAGCCAAAGCTGGAGAAAAATTATCTCAACGGGAGGAACCTCCCTAGAAACGTAGGATGAGAAATGCCGGGAATGAATGAGGATGCATGTGCACAGTTCCTGTAGTAAAAACAACCTGTCGGGAAGGTAAAGCGGCTTATTTCACTGCTTTCCGGTGAGCGCACGCACACGGACATGTGAACGCATCCCAACGCACCTTCGACGGTGGTGTGCAAGAGAACTCGGTGTGTAACACGGGGATGGAGGCTCTCATGTCGATGCCAGCCCCTGAAGCATCTATAGCATGGCTCACAGTGACTGAGGAAAGGGGCCCGACCGAACTTAGTTTTAGTGCTTTTGAAATGAAGACAAAAATACGGGGCAAAAATGAAAGAACCAAGCCCCTTGGTTATCAAAAAATATGGGGGAAAACTGAAAAGAATGAGCACTTTGAATTTTGAAGGCCTGGAATTCTTTCATTACATTTTAGAAGAAAATCTTTATAATTAAAAAGATTTGTATTTGTCTCTGCTTTGTTAATCAAAAATCTAATTTTTATAATCCAGATTCTAGGAACTGTTGTGAATGCTCATCCTTTGCAAAAAAAAAAAAAAAAAAAAAAAGTATTTCAGTGCCTAAGGAGCATAAATTTTTGTTGTTGTTGTTGTTGTTGTTTGTTTGTTTGTTTGTTTTCTTCACCAGGTGCAGAAAATTCATAATTCAAATATTTTTTCCTTCCTCTTCTAAATTCAGTCAATTTGTTTTCTGTACTGCAGTGCAACTCAGAGCCCTGGCTGCACGGCTCAGCCCCAGCACTGCTTCCCGTGCTGCCAACCCAAACGAACTGTATGCTCATAGCTGGGATGGGAACAAGGGGAAGGACTGTAGGTACCAGGCCTTAAAAAAGAAATGTATCTAACACTGTATGGTTTCACTTCTCCTGTTCAGGAAGCAAATAGCCACAGTAGTGGGAAGGACTCGCCCCATGGCTGGCATCCAAAAGGCTGTGCTCATTGGAGGAATGCACCAGCTTCTTGCAGCAGGAACCTGAGGGACCTCACTGGGACCACAAGGCCCCTCTCCCAGCCTGGTGTCCCCACCAGGGAGTGTCCCCATCTCCAGAAGGCTGGGGCCCGTCTCAAAAGTATCAGCCTGCTGGGTGACACATTTACAAGTGAGTACACTTGGAACACGTGCTCTGAAAGCACAGCACATTTCCCTGCTGGTTGCACAAGCTCTTCTCCAGTGACTGTGTGCAATAGCAAAGGTAACACCTGGCTCTCGCCACCGCTGAGCATGTGCTTCGTGCATGGAGAAAAAAGCAAAGTGCAGCAGCAACATGCGACTGTGTGCAACAGTGTGGCAGAGTCCAGGCTGCGTCCCCTGGAGAATCATTCCCTGAGGGCTGAATTGAGGGGGTTTGCCTCACCCCCAGGTACATGTTACTGGAAGTGGCGCTGATGAGGCCTGGTGTGTACACAGCTTCTTTTGTAACAGCTATTTGACTGTAAAACTGCCTTACTTAAGACACGAGCAAACTGTTGTACTTCAAGGCAGAGCAGTGCGAGCATTCATGAAAAAGTGTCGGCATTGCTTTAGCACTCTCTGAAATCAGTCTCCATATAGGAAATTATCCTGGAATTTTTGGGTCAATATTATATTCAATAATGATCTCACTGCTTAAGTATAATTATATATAAATGGTTTTTCTTGGTCCTAACTAAAGGACTTTAGGTGAGTTGACTCACATAAGGAACAACAAAGGCTTGAAATAAAACCATCTGAGTTATCCTAGAGAGAAAATAATGATAGCAAGGAGAGAAAGAACATTTTTAGAAAGGATATGGGTTAGAGCTGGCTATGGACCATTGAAGCACTGACATGGGCCTCGGCCTGTGTTCGTAGACAGGTAATGTTTCACAGCAGTAATGTGAAAAGGAAATCTTTTTTTGTAGCTTCTTGCTATGGCTGAAGAATGGTGGGCTCTGACAAAAAACGAGTCACAGAACCTTGCAACATGCCTTGGGCACATTCCTATAACACAGTTCAAAGTTATCTTCTAATCAAGCTGTAATCTTTCACAAAAGAACGGGGCATTACTGTGAACAGTTCTCTGGACAAGCAAACACCCCATCAAACAAAGCATTAACATTCAGAAAGACAAAAAAGGCAAGGGAAATGTGACAGGAGTGACAGCATGTGCAGCTCACCATCCCTGTGAATGCTGCATCCAGCACCACATCCTATGCACAGCGGTCTGCTTAGCCAACATACAATCCAGGACTTAAACATTTATTGGCCAGTAGAGATCCTTCTGGTTTTGAATCGGCCCAAATGGATTTCTCATGCTGTTGATAATACACTTTTTCAGAAGCTCAGGGAAACTAATGTTGACTCCAGAGAGGCACATTCTGCCAACTGGGAGAGACCGCGGGCTGCATGGGAAATTCTGCCCCTGCCTCAGTAGTTTATCGCTGTGCTGAACAGCCTTCCGTGCTTCCCACTTCCACTTGGAGCAGATCTGGCTGCAGCTTCCAGCTGTTGCTTCATGTAATGCCTTACTGCACGTAGCTGAAGTGTCCTTTCAGATGTAATATTTTGTGAAACCGTTTTTATTCCACATATATATATTTTTTTTTTCCTGAGAGAAGACACAGATACAGCTCCTTGATTTTCTGCAGACTTTCTATACCTTTTTTTCTTGTACTCTGTACAATTTTTCAACAATGATTTTAAAATTTTGAAATAAGAATTCATTACTACTTTTAATACCTCTCTTGCCAGAGGTGTGTATGAAGTAAAGTATCTTTTTAGCAACTTCTGTTTATGCTTGAGGATTGCATCTATTTGTTTGTTTGTTTGTTGCCACAACAGAATTTTAAAGACAAGGAGTGCACAATTTCCTGCATTCCCACTGGGAGCTTTATGTATTTTCACTATTAGGAGTCCAAACTATGGACTACATTGTGATGAAGACAGATGGTAGGGGGTTATTTCTTTTGAGCTGTCATATAGCTGACTGAGACTGCATGCAACCAACTCAATGCTTTGGCGATGCCATGCAATCATATGACACCTGCTCGTGCTGCCCATAGTGTCATTCTTTCCAGGACCCTTTCCACTGCCCACCTGCTGTGTTCCTAGATGTGCAGCACTGCTACTGGCTCCATTCACATGCTGCTTGCTTGAAAGTGCCCACTGGCTCACCAGCAGGCTCACGTCTTTCCATATATCCCTTTTCCCATCTTACTCACCAGCCTTCCTGCCAGTACCTTACATACAAAATTTAGTGGTGAGATTTTATATCAATTTTTAAATTGTCCATAAGCATCTTGAACAGTTCACAAACTATCTAATACAAATACTCCTATACAATAATAAAGATTTTCTGCTGCTCCAGTTTTATATATTTTTGTCCATTTTCTCTGCGTTTCATTTTTGGGTGTAATGTTTCCTCTATGAGGCATTAACTTTGGTTTCAACAGGCTTCCCTTTTCTGTGCTCTTATTTTATTCTCAAATGTCTGAAGGGTTCAGTGCATACCTAACTTTAAGTTGGAAATATGATTGGTGGGCTTTCAGTGGTGAAAGCTGGCTGAAATGAATGAAGTTCAACATCTCCATTTTTGTTTCTTATTCTTGTAGTCCCCGCTCCCAGTCTTCCTAAAAGCTCTCTGTTTCTTCTTAGGACATGGCAACGGCTACCATGGTTTTCCCAGACATGTTTCTGAGATGCAGTCCCTGAGTCCATATAGGTGAAGATTTCAGGCTCAGAAATTGCTGGTTTGATTGCATTAATGGGCACTGAATTCATGAAGCTTACAGATTAAAATCAGCATGATAAGGACGTGTATCACTAATCTTCTCTTCTTCACTGTCTTGAGGAACTCAGTTTTGTTTTTGCATTTAATTTTCAATCTCAAAACATTTTGTCATTAATTTTGATCTTTCTTTGAAGGAGTGTTTTTTTCCTCTTTTCTTTCCCCTCCCTCCCCACCCTCCTTCCCTGTTGCTCTCTGAACTGACTGCTGGCTGTTTTTTCATTACATGCACAGCTACTACTGGGTAACAGTTTGTATAATGCGTCTGCTCCAGCAACGGGTTCTGCAGCAGCTGGAGCTCATGCAGTGATTTCCCCTCACTGATGCATTTCAAGGAGCTGCAGTGGGCCGGGTCCGCATCTGGTGTATGTCACTCACTCCTCTGGCCCAATCCTCTCTGCCCATCAGCCCGTGGCATCACCTGTCCCTGCTCTGCTGATTGTAGCAGATGAAGAGATCATTGTGCAGGGCTGGAAGGGAAGCCTAGAGCTGTCATGAGGGAATAGATTAACATGTGTGAGAAGACACTGGGCACATTGAACGTGGGGCTTGCTTTCACAAGGCTCATTGAAGCTTTTTAATGAACTGGTATGAGAATAGGCTTGGTCTGATCCTCAGAGGCAGAGGTAGCAGCTTTTGCGATGCGTGTACCTCAGCACATTGGGATCTGAGCTGCATCACTGCATGCTTCTGCTTCATGGGCACAGAACCACCCAAGTCACCCAGCCACCAAACTGAGCTTGTTCCAAGATGCATTCATCAAGATGTTCTATTAGTATTTTTTTATGTTTAAATATAATACATAAAATGCATATTTCCTTATCTGCGCTCATGACAAAGAGACAGTATCAGGCAGAATGTTCCCTATAAATGTTTCCCAATCACAAAATAGCATTTTTTTTTCCTGGTTTGTTATGCATATTTTCATTACTAAGTCGTGAAAGTAGGAACAGGCAGTGCTCAAGCCCCATTGAAATTGCTTAAGCACAGACTTATTAACACAACATATCCACTTAACTCCTTTGCAGTAACCATACTCTGTGATTTTGATGGCATGCAGTCATACATCTGCAGGTTTTGCTTTGAAAAAAAAAAAAAAAAAAAGGAAAAGGAAAAAAGTGTTATAATGAGAAGACCTTACTTTCTATAAATGTTTTCATTTTAGGAATGTTTTCCTTTTCACCTTTGCAGATAAAGATTCAGATAGAGGGAGGTAGGTGGCAGAGAAAGACTGCAGCTTGAGAAAGTGACTGACTAGATGCAAGGAAACAAGAAGACTCCCAGATTCTTAGCTGAGCATAAACAGGTAATGTATGTGCTTTTATTTTTGTCTGCTCTGACTTTTATATCATAAAGACAGTGCAAAGCTAGGATGGGAAAAAGAAAGATTCCCATTTGCTTCCATGATTAAGTCTCTCATGAGTGAGACCATCAGTTGTTCAGAACAGGCAACACTTGTACTGGAGGGGCTCACTGGTTCACTTCAATTTTCTTCAATGTGTATTTGGCTAAGCCTCGAGAAAATGTCACTGGGAAAATGTC